TTCCAGAATGAATTTGTGAAGGAATGTTAAAAGCTTATTAATCTATGCGTGTGAAAACATAATTAAGCTAGAATAAAGCTGAATGCTTCTTTGTTGAGAGGAACTGTTTATACCTAGTTATATCGGTAGCCCAAGGTTCTTATTACTGTCTGGGCAAAAGTAAGTAAAACCAAAATAAACTGGCAGCCTTGGCAGAGTAAAGCAGAAATTAACATTTCAGATGCCTGGTCTCAAAGGTTCCTGTTTGAGACACATGTGGTGTGAGCACTGTCCACAGGCTCACTAACCCCAACACAAAAGTTTCTCTCCCAAAACATCTACGAGCTTCTATAACAGAAATCGGCAAGAAAGGCCTCATTTGCTCCTATAGTTGAGCAGACTTTAACTCCAGAGACTACTCTGGCCAGGCCACTGAAAATCAAAACCTAAGCGTACAGGGAGAGAAGGTCCTATGCCCAGAGCTGACACAGGCACAAATACCCTTGGCTGGGAGGAGAGCAGCTAAAGGAGGAAGGACACACCTTACCCCTGGTTATCCGCCACCTCTGTCTCTACAAGAGAACACTGTGCTGAGCAGCTCTTCAGTTTTAACAGGGCGCTGTAGACACTGAGAGCTCAGGAAATGGGCTTCAACCAACACAGACCAACAAGTTCCCATCTACACACTTCCTCCAGAAACCTCCCAAACATTACACTATAAGAGGTACATGCACCCTGAAAAGGAAATACATTCCTTAACGTTTTCGTCAAAGTAAAAAGGTCAACAGACAAAAGAGATAGGCATATCCCAGAGCTCTGTCCTAGCAGGGTCCAAAAGTTTTGTTTCTGATGTTTCAGAAGCAGGCTGTGAAGAACACCGAAGAATCAGCAGTTCACAGCCCCCATGTGCCTCCACCAGGTGCCTGCCCACTACTGACCTAGTCTCTTTGTCCTGTTTCCTTCTCCACAAATGGGGAATTATTGTCTTTAAAATAGAAGTCCTGGGGCTGGAGAGATGGCTCAGTGGTTAAGAACGCTGGTTGTTCTTGCAGAAGACCCAGGTTCAAATCCCAGCACCCACATGGCAGCTAAAAACTGTAACTCCAGTCCCAGGGGATCCGACAGCCTCTTCTGACCTCCATGGGCATTGCACAACACGGGTGCACTTACCTACATGTAGGCAATACGCGAATACACATAAAATTTTTTTAAAAAGTAAAATAAAAGTCCTATTTGTAATAAGGTTTTTAAAAACATGCACAAGAGGCTCACTTTTAAAAGTGTATTGGTAAAATGCAACTTTTACCATCTAAGTATCAAATAGACATGAGACTGCAGGTGACCAACCAATCTCACATCTATTTTGAAAGTTAGCAGTTTTCTTTAAAAATTACTTTTAGGTCAAGCATGGTGGTGCACGCCTTTAATCCCAGCACTTGAGAGGCAGGAGAATCTCTGTGAGTTCAAGGCCAGCCTGGTCTACATAGTGAGTTCCAGGCCAGCTGGAGCTACAGGGAGACCCTGTCTCAAAAAGACAAAAAAAAAAAAAAAAAAAAAAGAAAGTACTTCTAAATACTGCAATGCTACCTTTACTTGAGAATTTACCTGAGGAATACTGCCACCTAAACTGCTGTCTAATGACAGATTCAGGAAGTCGGCATGTCAACCCATGTCATCAACAATAACTGGAATGGATTATGTGTCCAGATCTCTGCAAACACCATAAGGGATGTAAACATGGGTCTCTGATTCCAGAGGTTTGTGTTATGGTTAGGACAAAACTATCAGTCATGAAAGTTCCCTAAAAGGACTTAAGTTTTACGATAGAGTAACAAAAATTCAATTTTAAAAAGAGCATGAACTGAAAAATAAGTTTGGTGAGACTGTAAGCTAGCCTTAAAGAACAGTTAAGATTTAGATGTGGGGCTGGAGAGATGGCTCAGCAGTTAAGAGCACTGAGTGCTCTTGCAAAGGACCCAGGTTCCTAGCACCCACATGGTGGCTAACAACTGTCTGTAACTCCAATTTCAGAGGGTCTGACACCTTCTTCTGACCTCCACCAGCACTGCACAACACAGGTGCACTTACCTATATGCAGGCAATAAACTCATACACATAAAATGCAAATAAAAATTTTTTTGAGACAGGGTCTCTCTGTAGCCCCAGCTGTCCTAGAACTCAACTATGGAGACCAGGCTGGCCTTGAACTCACAGAGATCCGCCTGCCTCTGCCTCCCGAGTGCTGGGATTAAAGGTATGCACCACCTACCCGGCTTAATATTTTTAAGAAAAATATGTAGATGTTATTGAGAAGGAAAATAGGCATTTCTGATGAAAGGTAAATCTGCAGAGGGAACAGGGAGAGATCATATCATCACAGGAAATTAACCTCAGTGGAAAGGACACATAGACTATGAACATTTGGCTGAGGAACAGACTTATAGTAAGACTCACTAAAATAAAGTTCGCAAAACAAAATATTAAACTGTGCTTAGATACATGGTAGTTTCTTTAGTTAGAAATATCCACAGTAAAGGCCAGCGAGAAGGTTCAGCAGCTAAAGGCACTACTTGCCTCCTAGCCTGAATTCCTTCCCCAGGACCTACAGGCAGATGGAGAGAAGCAACTCCCACAGGTTGTCCTCTGACTTCCACACTATGCACTGTGGTATGTGCGTACACACACACACACATCCATGTACACAAAAAGTAAATATAATAAAGTATAAAAATATTCACAGAAAAAAATTATATGGACTATTTCACATATTTTTAAAGAAACTATAATGTTGTAATTTTTTTTAAAGAAAAACAGCTTCTATAGATAAAGGTTTTACAGATGGAGTGATATAATCTGGGTTTGCTTTACTTCAGAATAATGAGAAAGGTGGGTGACCTTGAGCTGAATTTTACTGAATCCTAATGCCAGGCTGCCACTTCTTCAGATACTTGATCTATTACAGCATTTTTTTTAGTCTACCAAGCTAAAGCATTATTCAAAACATGGTGTCCATAGTCATAAGTGTATTCTAGTCCTTGCACAAGCATTTACTGCAGGCTGATAAAAACCAGCAGGATGAAAGACCATCATTTAATGAGCTAAGAATTCAAGAAACTGCTTGACCAGTGTGTCAACGCAAAGCCTCACAGCCAGTGTCAATCTGAACTCTGGATAGCTATACCATATTTCTCACTAATTATTAAATCCGTTAAGACACTGCAAACCAAAAGCAACCCAAATAAATTACTAAGGCGGAAATGAATGGCACTGTTAAACCACTCTGCTTCAGGGTTTCTGACAGTGAGAGGTCATCTTCAACACGGGACCACACAAACATGCATCCCACCACAAGTTCATACACAGCCTGTCACCAGCCTACGACAGGGATTAACTCGATATTTACCTTCTTGCCCACCAGCAACATGAGGCTACCTCCACGAGTGCAGACAGATGCCACTGTGATCAGTCCCCAAACACCACAAAGGAAAGTTAATTCTTCACCTACCTAAAAAGTATTTCTTGTAAAAATCAACTGCAAATGTGACTCCCTTGAATGGTCCCAGGACAGTGTCACAGGATCACTAACCAGCACTGTGGTGCAGACTCACTCACTGACAAACAGAACTAGGAAGGCTTCATTCCTGCAAAATATCTCACCTACAAGACGCACTGCAGCACACAAGATCTGAACCTCTAGCAAAGCCCAGAGAGAACTCAATCATCGCCTTCCACTGAGGGCAGCAGCCAGGCCTAGCCTGAGGGATACTCACACCCATAATCTCAGCAGTAAGAGGCTAAGGCAGGAGGATCACCAGTTCAGATTCAGCCTAAGCTACACAGTCTCTGTCTCTTCTCTCTCTCTCTCTCAAAGCACCCTATGAGGTGTATTGCAAACAAAATGCTCACATAACCCAATTTAAAGTAAGCTTTGAACCTAAGAGAGGACTTCCATTGTGCCTCTTTTCAATAAACTAATTCAACAAGATAAACTTTAGAAGATCAAATCTGTTTCACTTTACTCACTGCACTTCCCATAATCTACTTTATAATAGATTTAGTCAAGAAGTCACTTTAGTTCCAAACGGATTTTCCTAACGTTGAATGAAAACCTCCAACTTCTGCTCCATTTCTTCAGTAAAGATGCCCACTGATCTTGAAGAGTGGCCGTTCAAAGTTGATAACTTTGATAAGCTGATATCCACAAAGTCGATAATAGCACTTTAAAATGCTGCTGCCACACATCGAAGGCCAACCTACGGTCCAGCAACGAAACCAGGTCTGCAGACAGCCCGCTGCTGGCCTCCAAGGCCCGGGTGAGTGAGTGGCCGGGGTTCTGGGAACAGCAAGAGCAGCGATGGGGCACCTTCCTGGGCGCACGCCCACTACCTGCACATGCACAACTATTCCAGACTCACCCCAACAATGAGACTCATGGTTAGTTAAAAGGCAGGCGATGGGGATTGGGGGGGCGGTCAGGGTCCCTGAAAAGTACAACTTTCCTGTCCTGGCTGCCCCCCTCCCCGTCGGAGGCTTGCACAGGGCACGTCCCGGCTGTGCGCTCTGAGGTCTTGGGAACCGTGCTCCAGCCTCGCTGCAACGTGCAACGCCCCCCACCCCCCTACTCCACCGAGTCCATGCTTCAGCACCCCGGGGTCGCCCCGGCCCCCGCTGCACCTGCGATGCTGACGTCAGCAGCTCTTACTAATCCCCCAGCAGACGGAAGGCTCGGCCTCCCCGGCTGTCAAAGTCACCTGGGTGCCCTCTCCCCCGGAACGCGCCTTCTGGAGGCCGTGCACACGGCCCGGGCCGGGTTCCCGGTTCCCGCAGCGCCTGCACCCGGCAGGGCGGGAGGCACCACGTCCCGGTGCACCCCGATTTCTAGGCGCGTCCTGTGCAGCAGCCCGAGCCCCGCCGAGGCCAGGCCAGGCGCGGAGAGAAAGGCGCAGCGGTGGGCCCGGCCCTGCGCCCGCCCGCGCGTCTCCGCCGCCCTCGAACAATGCACCCTCGCGCGCCGCACTCACCACCCAGGTCAGGGTCCCGTCGCCGCCCGCACCGCCGGACTTGGCCATGGCAGCGCCTCCCGCGCAGGCCCAAGGCCGCTCCCGCTCCCGGGCCGCTCGCTCCGACCGCTGAGCGCCGCGCCGCTACCCGCGCCCCATAGCCTGTCCCGAGCTGCCGACGAGGAGGCCGCGCCGCCCGCCGCCCTCAAACTCGAGCGCGGCGCTCGGGCCTAGCGCGGCCGAGGATTGGGAAAGGCCGGCGTTGCGGCCTCCCGCTCCCGGGCAGGCGCTGAGGCAAAGGGGCGGCGGCAAAGCGGCGGCGGGGACCGGTGCGGGCGGGCGCAGACCGGGGCGGCCCGGCGGGGCCTCGAGCTCCGAGACGCTGTGCGGCCGAGGCGCCGCTTCTCCTCACGCAGAGTCCTCGCCGCGGTCGCCGCTGCCGCCTCGATGGCCGGCGCCTCCTCGAAGGCCTCCCGGGGCTCACAGGCGCGGGCCGACAGGGACAATAAACAGCACGGCCGCGGCGGTCGCCTCCCTCTCGTCCGGCATAACACGGCACACAGGCGCTCCGGGAGGGGGAGGGCGCGGCCGGCCGGCTGTCCATCAGCGCCGCGCTGTCCAATGGCCGCCTTGTCTCCACAGCGTCTTGACCAATCCCAAAATTCCAAGCCCCCGGAGGGGCGGGACCCGAGGGGAAAACGTCATTGCAGGTAGCAACCGAGAGGCAGATTTGGGTTTTTGTTTGTGTGTGTGTGTGTGTGTGCGCTCGCGTGTGCGTGTGCGCGCGGGGGGGAGGGGGCGTGAGGACGGCGGGTTTTCCTTCCGAGGGGAGAGCGGGCGGCTGTCGGGGGTCACTCGAGGGTGGCCGGAGAGCGGGGCGGCCTGGCGGGACCTGTGCCCGGGTCCTGCAGAACTGCCAGGAAGGCCGGGCCGGTGGGGGCGGGGAGCAGGAAGCAGGCGTCCCCCGAGACCGAGCTCGCCTGCTGCAGGTGGACTGTGCACCGTGCACCCTGCAAGCTGCAGGGACCCGGCGCCGGGGCACGGGCTGGGAATGCGTCACCCACCAGGCCGCCATCCTGCCCTTCCTCTGCCCTCCGCGGAACGTGGCGGTCAGTCTGGAGCCTCGCGCATCTAGAGGACTTAATAAGGGCGCCTAGGAATGTTCTGGGAAGGAACGCAGGGTGGGCCAGGCTTCCACGTCCATGCTGCTGACTTTCCGCTCCTCGGAACAATGCAGCAGGTTCCTGTCACTTTTCATCTACGAGAATTACACACCCCACCCCCAAGAGGGAATGCACCACGTTTAAACTGCTAAGGGCATTTTCAGATGCACACTAAGGAATAGTTGTATTCACGTGGAAGCTTTCTAAGAAGGAGAGTTACCCACACACCACCACCTTTGGCAGATGCAAGAGCGCTCGACTTCAGCCTATGGATGTAATTGCATTCAACAAGTCCTCCCTGGGCACACACCGCACCGCGCCGTGCCAGGCCAGGCAGTGGGTTTAAAGTGACAACAGCCTTGGTGTCTTTCAGTCTGCTAAGGCCCAAAGGACAGGGGACTGTGCTGCCCCCTTGTCTAGATGGAGTCTGGCAGCTTTGTGTGAAGGGGTCTCTGCCAGCTCACCCCCAACTCTTTATTTCTTTCCCCTTGGGAGGAAACAAAAATATCTGGGTCACACCTCTCAACCACATTCTGAGTTCAGAGGTGGGGGACTCTTGAAATGTGGAAATAATTTAAGTGCAGTTTTTCTTAATTAGCCCTCTAGAGACCATGGAGTTTTGGCAGATTTAGGGACTGTGGCTCAGAACACTAAAGCCTTTCTTTACCTTGAACTTGGGGTTCAAGCTTATAAATCACAGGCCAGGGTCTAGGCTGGGCTCTGAACCTGACAACTAAGAGCCACGGCCATGCTAATTAACTTTCCCAGGTCCAGCCTTGTTAAATGGAGTTTTGCTCTTTCGCTTACTGTGGCTTTACATCTCTAAGCACTCATATTTCATCTTTGAAAACATTATTTTAAAGGCTGAGTATTTTACAGATATATGTATGCATTATGCATATGTTATGCCCAGGCTGGGGGCCTTGATCCATCTCAACCCCCAAGGCTAGCCTTGAACTTGTAAACTGGTATCACCAGGCCTGGCTAGGCTTTTTGTTGTTTGTTTTATATTACTTAATCTGTACGCATACTGCATTTAAGAACAACTACCCCACAGCCAGCATGGGTCAGAATGAAAACTTTTAGAAATCAGTCATGTCCATAACTTTAAAAATAATCTCTATTTTAGTTAAATAATCAAGCTCCGTAGCCTCTATGAAAGTTCTAGTTCCTCAGTTTGCAGAAATTACACACACACACACACACACACACACACACACACACACACACCCTGAAACATCTGTTGTATGAAGTCCCCAGGCCATGGGAACTCAAAGTACACATTAAGCTCCACCGAGTTCACCCCTGTGACCGGTAATTTGGGGCTAATCCTTCAGATCCAAAAGTAATTTTGAAGTTGTTCGTTTGCTGTTCAATAGTCTATTAGATGAGTCATGCCTATTACTGAACTTTCTCAATATAATTTGGTCAATAAAATAAGAAGATAGCAACTGAAAACTATGCCATACAGGGCAGAGTTCTGCCAAAACCATGAGCTGTTCCATTGGAGAGCCAGTGTAAGGTCTGCTCTTCAGTCCAGCAGTCTAAAGCAAGTGATGATGCTGTTCTAAACTGCATGCTGCCCCATTGTTAGTTGTGGATACTTAGTATGTACAAAGTTGCTAGACTAACAAAGAAAAGTTACAATGTCTGTCATGCTGGATACTTAGTAGGTAGTTATCCAGATAATGACTAAACTTTAAATGTAACTTTGTTACATTTCTTTAGGAGTTCAGAGACTGGGAAAGAAGAAGAAGAAGGAGAAGGAGAAGGAGAAGAAGAGGAGGAGGAGGAGGAGGAGGAAGAGGAAGGAAAGAAAGAAGAAAGAGAGAGTGAAAGAAGGAAGGAAGGAAGGAAAGAAGGAAGGAAAGAAAAGTCAGCTCGAGGGAGAAAAGCTACCGCCAATGTAGATTTTATTACAGTATGTTTACAGTAACTATTATAGATCAACTGACCTGTCAGACTAATTTCCCCAAGTATTTTATAACATACATATTTTTTAAAGGTACTTAAGTGGAGCTGGGTGTAGTGGTGCACCCCTTTAGTCCCAGCACTCAGGAGGCAGAGGCAGGAGGATCTAGAGAGATCAAGGCCAACCTGGTCTACATATCGAGTTCCAGGCCAGCTAGGGAGACCCTGATTCTAAGAAAAAGGAATTCAAGTGCCAAAGGTGCAAGTGTTTGTGGGTAGTTGAACAACCAGTGATGACCATGTTCCCGAATGAATACCATCACATGAAGCAGACAAAAACTGAAGGTCTTTAATTTCTACCTGCGATGAGTGTGGGAATCGTTTTGTCTGGTAGGAATTCAGCTTTATTGGTTTTGGCTGGGCACGCTCTACTGATCCTCTGATTATGTTCTAATGATCTGAATAGACAGAAGGGACATCTTCAGTTATTTACTTGATATAAATCAATGATCCAGGGCTCTTAACTGGTCACTGAATTAAATAATGTAGGGAATGTAATTAGCACATGCCTGACTTAAAGCTGTTCTTGGCCTTTGCAAAGTCGTCTAATTGACTGGACTTTCTCAAAACAAGTAAGTGGCTTGTTCTAAAAATCTCTGCTCTGAGAACATGAGATGCTGTCATCCACCTGCCCTTCACAGACTGATGCAATGCAGACATGTGTGTTACTCAGTTGCATTTGAAGTTTCTGGCTGAGCCTATTCATCTGATTAAATTTCTCTACAGTTCTGCAGATTCACACCTGAAGAAATGAGATGGCAGTGACCTTCCCCTCCACTGGTCCCATTTCTGAAGAGCGAGGAACTCACTCCAAAGCTGGAATTGCCATGTTGTCTTCACTTTGTAATCTAGTAAAATATTTTTAATTGAGAGATGGAGCCCAGGAAGAGTTAGATACATTTGCACCAGAAAAATCCAAGTCCGAAAGCCTACAAGTTAGAGGGGCTTCTGGGACCAAAAACAAAGGTGCTTGAAAGTGATCTAAGGTGTTAATTAAATATCAAACACTGGGAGACACCATCTTTTAGTGAACCAATTAACAAAAACGCAAATTATTCCTCATTTTCAAACCTGTTAGATTAGCCTCGTTATTTCACATGCTATCCTGTCTAGCAGCCTTCGTCCTCGCTTTGAGAGTGTCAGGATAAAGATCCAGAAGGCTGGGGACACTGATGCTTGAAGGGCTAGGTTTCTGCTTTAAATGTTTAAGGCAAACAGAAAAACAGGGCTAGCCTGCTCGTTCAGTGCCCCACGCTTCGGTGCCAGCAAGCTGCACTGGGTGCCTGGTCCATAGCCAGTGTTCAGTCAGCAACTGCTCAGACCTCACCATGAAGCATCCTGTCCTCATGCACACAGGGTTGAGACTTGGCCATTTGGGTTTTACTCTTCAACAACGTTAAGTCTTTGAGCTCCTTGGGTGTTCTTCCTTTCATACCAGAAAAGGTGGTACTAGCACCTTAACTGTCTCCACTTAACACATTATCAAGAGTTGGCTGAATGGAGTCCAGGCCTGGTGGTATGTATCTCTAATACCAAGACTCAGACTCTAATACCACATCCCCCGAGTACCCTGGTTGGTGCATATGGGCCAGACCCTTCCACACATAGCAACTAAAGTACAGGTTGTCATTCTTCCATCAAGAAATGAAAAGTCACAGAAAGTCACAGAGTCGAGTTAGTGGGAATGGAATTCAAACCCAAGTCCCTCCCACTCCAAAGCCACACCCTTTTACCACACAGCCAAGCTGGCCAATGTACTTGGCAATACAGTGAATTTGGCAGTGTGCTAGGAACTTGGCAACCTGAGTGAATAATTCTTAATCCTCACCATTGGCCCTCAGCAACCCCCTGGGTTGTTCAAGTTTATTGTTGAGCTACAGTGACAAGTATCTATAGTTTGTATCTCTGACCATCTTCAAAATCAGCCTGGGTCTGCTTTGTTTTGCTGTACTACAAAGTCAATTGATTTTTGAAGTCCAAAATGAAAAAGAGAACATGGGACTCAAGGTCCCGCGGGTCTCATAACAGGCAACTCTCTGCCATTTTAAACTTTGTACTCTAAACCCCATGTGCTTACTCTAGAAGACACCAGCCGGCTTTTTCCAGCAGTTACTTTCTGTGCAGAGGGGACAGGC